GCCTGATGGGTTTATACTGGTTGTCAACATCAGCTGCTGTTTTGTAGCTATTACAGTGTCAAATACCACAGCTGGCCAGAAGGACAATGGTTCAGGCTCTAATGACATCATTGTTATCTCTACAGGCCTGTTTCTACAGCTTATAAAGAGTGAAAATGTTTTGGGCAGGTTTTTCAAAAACAAGCTCTTCATTAGTTGACTAGTTGTTAACAGCAGCTGTGACCCGTAGGTTCTGGATGTGAGTGAGTCTTCATTATTTGCCTAACTTACAAGTACAGAACAGGGCTGAAGGTGCTGCATATTTTGCTGAATACCTCCTAATAAAGCACTTCAGCAGCCATGGATAATTAAATGCACGCTGGCGAAAAGTCACATCTGCTGTGAAGTTGCTTCTCTCTCTTTCCAAAGAGTGTCCTAATTGCTTTATTTAGCTGTCAGAATTGTTGCTGCAGCTTAATTAGCTCCGCATGGACAAGAACAGCGGTAGCTGTTGTTCCTCCCTCCTTTCTGTTTGCGCGTTTGTGGTTAATTGCTTGACTGGTGCTGTTTTTCACCGACCCTGCGCTCTGTCTGCTAATGACTGATTCATCTGATCAGCAGATAAGCGGCAGCAGACAGTCAGAGCACAACAGGCTGGTGTAGGTGGGAATCAAAATGGTTGTTTGTGCAAATATGTGTCTGGCCTCAGCTCACTGATCCAACAATCATCAAATGTTAACTTCAAATGTTTTTGGTGCTCTTTGAATTTTCTACATGTCCTTCACATGTGGTCCTTGAGAAGTAGAGAAAAAGTGTAGTGTTAATAGACTTTATACAGCATGCATTGTTTTCAGGATGTGTAGGCTGCTGCCTTCTTATGGCAGTATGTGCTTGTGCTAATAAATTCTCAGAGGTGGGGTCATTTCTTTTGGGTTTTTTTCCAGTGTACAGAAAGGAGTAGCTCCACAGTGTAGTGGTTTACACACTCACCTAACAAATGATATATTATTGCCAGTGGTGGGAGACAAAAGTCCCCTGGGAGTTGCGTAAGGAAGGGCATCAGCTTAAAAACAATCTGCCAAATCAAAAAGGCAGAGCCTATCTGCTGTGACAACCTCCTGTGACAACCTGAAAGTAGCCTTAGCATACTTATGGAATTAGATCTCCTCGAATTCATGTGGGGATAAATAACTATCTATATAGACAAACAGGTAGACTCTATACAAGGACTTGAGGGATCATCTACTAAAAAAAGCTACCCCATTTCCTACATTTCAGTTTTCTGCCCCTCGTAAAGAAAAAGCTGAAGGAACTTTTGTGGTCACAGCTACAAACGTATGTATCTGTGATGACCACCATATTAAGAATATCCAATCTAACTGACATAGGTGTGAATGATTGTGTGTCTCTGCGTTAGCCCTGTGACAGACTGGCGATCTGCCCAGGGTGTACCCCACCTCTTGCCCTAAATATATGAGCATGTAATTATCTATTAATGAAAAAAAATAAGGAAATGAATAGAAAATCCACTTTAAATGAGTGGATGGTGCTATGCGAGCTGTTTCTCCCACTGTGTTCAGTATGTAATCTAAGCTCAACTGCTGTTATAAGGTAGAAATGATCGGAATAACCACATAAACATGGGAGGGGGGTTCCTGTTATTCCAATTTTCTTGGATATTTTGTTTACTTTGTATACCTAATATTAAGATTATTGACTTTTCCAACTGTTTTTTATTTCGGAGCTATGCATATCTTAAAACCTGATGATCAGTCATTTAATGTTAGATCATCTACATTTAAGAAATATAGTTCCAGAAAGTGTGTGTGCGTGTATGTGTGTGTGGGTGGCTGTCTTGTCTCCTGGCAGCAGTTCTAATCTTTTGAATGAATAGTTGTTTTCTGCTGTGTGTGTGTGTGTGTGTGTGTGTGTGTGTGTGTGTGTGTGTGTGTGTGTGT